CATCAGAGGAGCAGGAAAGCTGACGTTTCGGGCCTAGACCGAACCCGAAACGTCAGTTTTCCTGCTCCTCTGATGCTGCTTGGCCTGCTGTGTTCATCCAGCTCTACACCTTGTTGTCTCAGATTCTCTAGCATCTGCAGTTCCTACTGTCTTTCTATATATTCCCCTGTAATAGTTACCTCAAGAACTGATCAACTCATTGCTTTCCTGAGGTGTAATGATTACTTTGTTTTCAACTTAAGGAGTCTAGGAACTCCCTAGTCTCTCCTTTTTTTTAAATTTCAAAAATATACTTTATTCACAAAAAAAAACTTTGTATACATACACATTATCATAAATACAGATTGGTTCTGTATAGTTGTGTATCAAATAAACAAAACAAAAACATTGTACTTTGACTTTATCCAATTCTCTTATGCATACAAGGTGTTTCTGGAAGCTGAAAGTGCTGTAGGACTTGCTCTTCAGGAGCAATTCAGATTAAAAATAATTGGACGAGGCCGAGTTTTAATGAGGTGAGGTCAGATCTGGCCCAAGAAAGCTGGAATCGAAGATGGGCAAGCAAAACTGACACTGAATAGTTGCCTTTAAATAGATTACAGTGAGGGTTATAAACCAAGATGTATTTGGATGAGGGTGAGGATATGTAAAACAAAACCAGAGCTCTCCAATATAGTTGGGCAGCATGGTGAAGCAGAATTAAAATGCACATCAGGGCTCAAAAGTACAAAGGGGCGAGTGAATTTCCCCCAAAATTCCCTAGAAAATTCAATCGGGAGCAACAGATGGTGGGTCGGGGGTGGAAACACCTCTGCAAGTAGAAATGACAGAATTGAAATGTTGCTTGTCTGATCACAGGATGGTTCTCTCCTACGTTTGCTGCTGATAGGTTCATTCTGATTTGAGGTGTAGCAGGCAGTGAGTGAACGTTATCAAAGGGAGCTGGAGCTGCCAGGAACTGTCTGCTGGATCTGGTTGGATCAGCTGGTTACAGGAGGCTGACAAGGAAGCAAGGGGGGGGGGGGTTGGGGTTGGGGTTGGAAAAGACTGCAAGAGAGGGAAGGGAAGGAGGGTGCAAATTAAGGGAAGTTTCACACCTGTCAAATTAATACCCTGCTAACCTAGAGCCAGGAAGAATTGGAAGTTATGTGTAATGAATTTCTATGAAAGTAATGAAAGATTCAGCCAGTCATAGGGAAAGAGGTAGCTAATACATCTGATAGGCTGTTGAAGAGCAGCTACTAAAAAAGGATGGCTGTATTAGTTAGATGCACATTTATGGTGGGGAAATCGTTGGAGTCTACAATCAAAGGTAGGGTAACTAAACGCCTCAAAAATTTTCAATTAATCAGGGAGCACCAGCATGGATTCATGACAGGTAGGTCATGCTTGACAAGCCTCAGTGAATTTTTAGACTATGCCCCCTACTTCTAGAATCTCCGAGAAGTGTAAATAGTTCATCTTTACCTACCCTGTTTTTTCATGTTAATATCTTGAAGATTTAGATCAGATCACCTCTTAACCTTCTAAATTCTAGAGAAAACAGGCCCAATTTATAATAACCTTGAAGTCCAGGCATAATTCTTGTAAACCTATGTTGTACTCCCTCCAAGGTCAATTTTTTATTCGAGGTGTGGTGCCCAGATCTGCTCTTAGTACTCCAACTAGGGTCAGGGGATTGTCTATGTTTACATGGATTGCCAGAAAGCATTTAACAAAGTCCCACATAAGAGATTGTTAACTAAGGTAGAAACCCATGGAACTGAGGGCAAATTACTGATGTGATTGGGAATGTGGTTGAGTGGCAGGCGATCAAAAGTAGGGATAATGGATACTCAAATTGGCAGGATGTGACCAGTGGTATCCTGAATGGACGTAATAGAGCCTCAATTATTCACATTATTTGTTAACAATGTGGATGATGGCATTGAAAGTCATATATCCAAACATGTTGATGGTGCAAAGGTAAAATGGCATTGTAGATAGTGTGAATGATAGCATGACAGACAAAGGCAGCAGAAACATGGGAACACTACCACCTTCAAGCCACTCACCATCCTGACTTGGAAATATATCATCATTCCTTCAGTGTTGCTGGGTCAAAATCCTGGAATTTGCTCCCTAATGGCACTGGACTGTCGTGATTCAAGAGGCAGCTCACCACCACCTTCTTATGAGCAACTAGGGACTAGATAATAAATGCTGATTGAGTTCAATGTGAACAAGTATGATGTTATCCAAGGTTTTAGAGTAGATTTGTAGCTGAACAGCCAAGCAATGCCCGCATTTCACAAATGAATTTAAAAATACAAAGAGTTATTGATGAAGTATGTGAATGGGCAAAACTGTGGCAGATGGAGATTAATGTAAGAAGTGAGGTTATCCATTTCAGACTAAAAAAAATAGTCAGGATACTTTCTAGATGGTACAAAGTTTACTATGCTGGATGTTCAGAGAGACTTGGGGGTTATGGTGTATAGATATTTAAAATGTCAGGTACAGATGCAGAAAACAATCAAGACAGCTAATGGAATGCTGGGGACTAGAGTACAGAATGCAGAAATTATGCTGCAGTTTAACAAAACCTTGGTTTGACCCTACTTGGAGAACTGAGAGCAGATCTGGGCACAACACCTCAGGAATGAAAAATTGACCTTGGAAGGAGTACAACATACGTTTACAAGAATTATGCCTGGACTTCAGGGTTATTATAAATTGGGCCTGTTTTCTCTAGAATTCAGAAGGTTAAGGGGTGATCTGATCTAAGTCTTCAAGATATTAACATGAAAAGACAGGGTAGGGAAACATGAACTATTTACACTGGTCAGAGATTCTTGAACTAGGGGGCATAGTCTAAAAATTATGGCCACTCAGGAAAGACATCACTAAGCTACTTCTACCCTCGAAGGGTGGTAGAGGTTTGGAACTCTCTTTCACAAATAGGAGTTGATGATAAATCAGTTGTACATTTTAAATCTGAAATAATACCTTTTAACAAAAATGTAAGGAACATGGGCCAAAGTCACATATACAGAGTTAGTCCACATATTGGTCATGATCTCATTGAATGGTGGAACAGGCTCAAGGGACTGAATGATCTACTCCTGTTCCAACAGTACCAGATGGAACATATCCGAGGATACAAGGGAATTAAGAGTGGAATTTGCACTGGTATGGGCATAATACTCTAAACTGTCTTTTGCTTTAGGGATAGCTCTGTAAGACTGGAAAATGGCTAATACTCTACTCTTCTACACAACAGGCCAAGAGTTTGACCTTTATGTTAGTATGCTTTGAGAAATTTTATTCCTGGGAAAAGTTAATAGTCATTTGACAAGTGGGGGTTAAGGAAAGCCAACAAGAATGTTACAGAAATGATGTGTTTACTCATCAAAAAAACCTGCAGGAAGTTACTAATGTCATTGGCAATGTACATGCATGTCCAAGAAGCATTTGATAAGGTGTCACATAACAGACTTTCCAGCAACTCTGAAGCCTCTGAAATAAAAGGGAGTGCGCCAGGATGGAGACAAATTTGGCTCAGTGGCAGGAAGCAAAGAATAGTGCCAAAAGGTTGCATTCTCAGAGCTGGTAAAGGTAGTTAGTGGAGATCTGCAGGAATCAGAGCCATTAGGCTCTTCTTGATATATATATATTCATGACTTAGACTTGAGTTTACAGGGAAAAATTTTCAGAGCTTGCAGATGACAATCTGAAAACACGAGGACACAGGTTATTGAAACATGTAGGCATGTAGGTGAAATTTAATGCAGTGGTGAACGTTTTGATCAGGAGGACAAGGGAAGGCAATATAAACAAAAGGATATGATCTAAAAAGGTGCAGGAAAAAAGACAAGTATATATACGCAAAGTGGCTAATAAGGCATATGGGAAATGCAAAAGAAAAGCTTTAAGACCTTGGTTTGGTTTCCACTAGACTATTGCCTAATTCTGAGCACTACACTTTGGCACTGTGTGTAAGCTTATTAGAGAGCACAGAGAGAAAAGAAACTTTGATATCAAAATTGTTTCAGGGTTGAAGGACATCAGTATTTATGCATAGACTGGAAAGTTACCTTCTGAGAAGGTTGAGGCTTGAATCAATAAAGATTTCAAAATCATGAGGGATCCAGAAAAGAGAAAATGTTTCCATTGATAGGCAGATTGAGAGCCAGAGGACAAAGATTCAAGGCAACTGGCAAACAAACAAGTGGTGACAGAAGAATAACTATTTTTAACACAGCTAAGAGGTTAGGATCAGTAATGCACTGCCCAACAGTGTGGAGGCGATAGACACAATTGTGGCTTTCAAAAGGGAGTTGGATAGCACTCAAGAAAAGTTTTTGAAGGGTTGTTGGGAAATGGGACGAGTGGAGTTAAACTTAGAGGTGGCAGAGTCATGGCAGACTGAATGGCCTCTTTTATTGTTAAAAAAAACTCATTCAAATAGGCTGTACGAGACTTTGGATTATCCTAGGATTGACAGTTGAGTGAATGTTAATATTGTTTCAAAAAAAGCCAAAAACAAAGTTGGGGCTAATAACACACACACACACACACACACACACAGAGATGGACTCTGATTTTGTAATCTTTATTTGTTTGATTTCCAGTAATAAAAATATGTCAGCTAAATTCTGTACAAGGCCTAATATTTTTTTTTTTTTTTACAGACTCCTTTTTGTGCTTCATATCACACACTCCTAAATTACAAGAAAATGCACAAAAGATTTGAGACACCCCGGCAAGATGAATGCAGTCCCAGTCCCTGCTTGTCATTTTTTTTTAAAAACTCACTGACAAGCTGTCCCTATTTCTTTAACATATATATAAAAAAATTACTTTGAAAATTCACTGGAGGTGTACTTCTGTTAACAGACCACATTATGGCTGGGCAGAAATTACTTTGTACCACTCGACCAAATCCAGCAAGAACAAATGGAAAAATAACATAAAACCAATTCTTTAAAAAAAAAGCACCATCCTTGACATTCTGTGCCTCGATACCAGTGCATGCAACCAGCATTTCCTGTATGCTAGCACCACTTAGTGGCAGATACTTGTATTAGGACCATTTGGCTCAAGTCAGCAGATGTCATCAGGGGGGAACAGGCAGAGGATTAAACCATTAATCCTTTGTTATTAAAAGATTTTTCAGCATCCTCCTTGAAGAACTATTTCAGTGACACTACTGTTTGCACCCAGACAAGCCCACAATAACACCAGTACACCACATTTAGCATACTGCTTTGAATCTGTTCCAATACAGCTGTTGTGGAGACTGAGATCCAGAAATGCCATTTTGAAAAATACCTACAACAAGGATGGCTATGTGCTGTGCTCAGTCCACTCAGGGTAAAGGCTTCCAGATTAATGATGATTGAGAACACATTTATTATGGTGTTAAGATGCAACGAGGCTATATTTCTTTCCTGAAGGGGTTTGGTTCATGAGATGGAAGACAACAATGGAGACATGGAACGTATGGTCTTTAGGAATTGAGAGTCAACACCTGAGACTCAGATCACGTCCAGCATCAGATAGAGAAAGGGGCCCCTTTCAACTGTCTCAAAGTAATTGTCATCCTGCAATTGGATGTTCAATGGCCTTGAATCCTGCGATCTGGTTGCTGATGCCCAGACATTTCCGTCTCAGTAGTCTTAGGTCCCTTTATTCATTGGTTCGTTTTAACTGCTGATGGGCAATTCCTAAATCAGAGCAGAGCATTCAGATTATGTCCAAATGAATGGGATTCAAGTTAAACACATTTAATTGTTGTTTATAGCCCAAGACTTTGTGGTAAATAGAATGCTGTTGTACTGCATTAGTGTGATATTACCAATAATAAGCCACTTGCTCAAGTGTCTCTCCACCAGCACCTCAAGGGAGACTTCTGACACTGCCACCTAAGAGGATTGGCATTCAGATCAAAGGCCAGCATGTGCTCCATTAAGCACCCATTCTCTCCGCACTGCCCAACAGTCTCTCAGCCCCAAAATACATGATTATTTTGTTAAATATACAAAAGAGACAGATGTTGAGCGCTCAATCCAGGTCATATCTTACACAAATTTAATTTGCAACAGGATTGGACTGGCCTCAAAATTCTATCCTTTTCTAAATTGTTGTTTGAACACAATACTTATACTGACTTTATACCACACCTACTAAGAGTTCAGGAGATCACAGCCACTTACTGCTTAGGTGGCACCAGACTTTATTTCATTTCAACTTATTCCCAGCTCATTGGAGGCAGGAAATAATGCATTAAACAGCCATGTGGAAAATCTGAAAAAGCTATGGTCATTACGCCCATATTTCAATGACTTGGTTGACTTATTTGCTGTTGTAAATCACTGGTAATGTTATCTGGAATTGGAAAATGGATGGAGGCATGAAATGTGCTTAGAAGAATGTGCCAGAGAAAGCAGTTGCAAAAAAAACCAGAAACAGATACAATAATTCATTAGTGTATCATAAGACTATCTCACATCAGCAATTTTAAACTGTTACCCTCTAATTGCAATGAGGATTAATTCAATTGCCATCAACAAATCAACTGTCAGTCACAAATTGCTCGATTAAGGAGGGGCTATATGTTATCAAGAGACACTTTCATACTGGAGATTACTATTCCTTGAGGTAACCATTCCTCTATACCACTGTTGTAAGATTCAAGAGAGATATGGAACCTGATAGAGGTTATAGTATAGACTTTTCATATCTGGGAAAAGCCAATGGTGGGATAAAAGCCTGCTGCTTTTCCACAAATGGAGTTGGATTCAAACCTAGGTTCCTGCAAAGGGGACAATTCGTCACCATTTCATTTAGAGAGGCCAAAAAGATGTAGGAAAATTCAGCAGGAACCCTTATTGCCTTTTCTAATGTTGAGGTGTTGCATATCAGTTATAATTAACATATATCCCATATGACTTGCAAGGTTTCCTGCAAGCAGTTGACTATGTAAAAGGGGATAATTCCAGCATCTTTCCTTTTTCAGCTAAAGAACTCAACAATAAATGCATTGTTACTGCAGCACAGCGCATCCCTGTAGGTAATCTTTTCAGTTCTGTGAGAAGAACTATTAGCATTTCTCCTTCATGGAGCTGGACATATTGAAAAAAGCTCAGAATGGACCATTCACACACCTTGATTGAAATGTGTGTAATAGAAGTTTGGATATGTACCTCAAAATGCAAACACATGTTGTGAGTGCACTAATTTTTAAAATCAGTTTTGGCACTGTGTCCAGCCAGAATTCTCATGCTTTGAAAAGAATAAATGAGTTTCAACTGTTGAGTAAACTGCATTCAAACTCAGAATTCAGAAATGGTCATTCACAACCCTGCCCCATACAAGCATATTTTCAATCTCCAGCAAGGACACATTGCAAACTGTAAAAACTCCAAGTTAGCTTAACTTATGCTACCTTCAATTAATGTCAAAGTGTCTCAAACAACTAGACAATGTACGGTGCTTTCTTCCTCCCTCTCCTGGAGAGTGATGATAGAAGTGAGTAGTAACATTGTTAAAGAAGCAGAAACAAAGGACTGATGACACTCCTCGGAGTACATCTCAATTGTTGATGCAGGCTGAATCTGGGCGAGGGTGCACCACCCGGAGCCATTGAGAAACGCTGGGGCACAGTTGCTTTTGCGCACTTGTCACACAAAGTTTGATAAAGGCGATCATTTATTGGCACATCTGCTGCCTCAGGATCCTGATTAACTTATCAACACTTACTGTACGCAGAAAGCTATGGCATCTAAAGCACAAACTATTCTGCAACACTGACTGAGGTGCACCTTAATGTTAAAACACAAGCAGCAATGAGACGCATTTAGTAGGGCATGGGCTCAGTCCAGAAACTTTACCCATGATATGAAATGGTGGAAAATCATGGCCCAAATCTTCATTGTGATCACCCTAAATATATGGTTCTCTTCATAAACCTTCCATATCTTTTTTTTAATATGTACACTCACACATATAAACAAATGTGTTTTAGAAAATCCATTAAAAAAAACAAACTGTTCTCAGTTTTTCTAAATGCAGTCTCTCCAAGCTGCGATACTGCATGAGGGTCAAAAGCAGACCTTACAAAAGCTTGCTGCCACCGAGGCAAAATTATTCCACAGCCCCATAGTCTGAAAGAGCTGACCAGTCTTTGTGATTGCACAGAATTGGATGGGAAAGTTGCAAGTAGATTTTTTTTTTGCTTCTTCTTTGTCTCCTCATGTGTACGTGTATGTCACAGGGCTGAACTCCCAGTCCCTGAAGTAAAACATTCATTACTCCTAGTATCCTTTCTGTCTCGCCCACTAGGTGGGCATTCTTCATGCCTGGATCGTGATGCGTGCCAGGTCCATCAATCCAGCTGGTAGGATCATTCATTCAGGGACAGGATAATATCATCTTCCAAGTCAGAGTTATCTGTGGTATCCGCTGGACAAAGTGGGGAGGAGAATTAATTACCATTAGTTAATTACAAGGACCATTAAAAATAAAGGACTCTAACTGACAGATACTTAGTTAAGTGGAGTCTTACCAGATTAGCAGTTAGCTGAACGTTTAAATGGGGGCATTTCTTGTTACTCAGCTTTGCAACTCTTCTGCCACTCTTCTTTCCTTGCACCTCAATCTCCTAAAGCCACCACTCTCTTAGGAATAGCAATCACACATGCCAGGTTCTAGTTGAGACTCTGTAACACTACTCTCAGACTCAACCATTCCAATATGTTCCTGTTCAGCCTCTCATCTTCCACCCTTCACGTTTAGCTAATATTCTGCTGGCCTTTGAACAACTTTGCACTAACTTCCATTCACCCAAAGGTGGTTAGCTGGTCAGCAGCTTAGGAGGTAAATGGGTAAGGGAACAAGGGCTGTCCCTGCACCAAGGTGAATTCGGCAGGGATACAAGTGAAGTTAGAAGAAAAGTAAAAATAAGAAAACTCAGATTTAAAGCATGGGGGAGTCTGAGAGGGATGCATCGCCTAGGGGGTTAGTTGAAGTGAAGGTAGCAGGGTCAACTGAATTGATGATATTTGTTTTTGTAACAAAGTCTACAAGCTCCTCACACTTATTGTTGGAGGTGGAGAAGGAAGAACAGAGGGTGCTTCCGAAGTATCATTTGTAGTGAAGGCAAACTAGACATTGTCCCGAAACATTGACTTCTCCTCCCCCAGACGCTGCCTGGCTTGCTGTGTTTTTCCAGCCTTCTGTTTGTCCACCTTGGATTCCAGCATCTGCAGTTTGTTGTCTCTAGACATTTTCTTAACCTGCCTCGCAATCAAACATGATCCAGAGAGGCAGGTTATGAGATGGACAATATTGCTTAACAAAGTATTAAGTGGTCTAATCAGAATTGGTAGTGAATGATTAAATCAGCAGTTAGTTTAAAGGCTTTAAGTTTACATCCTTTAGACTTAAGGGAGTCAAAATGAAGGGTACATCAGGAAATGATCTGGAAAGCAGAGGCAAGTCATGAAAATTAGTTGAGGTGTTATTTAGCAAATCAATAAATATTGCGGTATCATGATGAATTAAAGGCCAGAGGCGAGAGTGTTGGGAATTTGAGTATGCTGTGTTAAGTGACTTGAGGGACAGTATTTTCTAGGGCTGGACTCAAAGTAGTGGGCTTGGGAAAGTGAAGGAGAATGTGGATAGAAAGTGACACAAGGAAATGATCAGATTGCATTACCAGTGATAGTTACAATGTGAGTTACAAAGTGGAGAGATGGAGGGGGTAGCAAATTGAGAATTTCTACAAAGGTGGTAGTTTAGGAAGGAAAGAGGGCAGTGAACTAAATATGTAGAGTTGAGATGGAGGCTATATTTATCCAGGATGAGTCACTCGGTGCAGAGGTTGAGATGGGAAATCAGAGAAGATCACAAAGAGAAACCTGGACTGGGTCGGAAATACAGATCAAAGATTTGAAGTGAGTGTGATGGATGGAAGAGGCAAGATTTTCAAAAGGTGGAGAAGATGCCAGAAGACTGGGGCGAATTGACAAAGATGTGATTTAAAGGCCACACCACTGCGATGCCTATTTGACCAGGTCAAGATGGTGTTGCAAGTAAAGAAGTTTCATTAAAGAGATAGGTGTCATCAACCTTCAGACATGTCTGTCAAAGCCATACAGCCAACATAATCAGTCACAAATACCTCAGGTCTTTCTTCACAAATCAAGAAGCAGAGGGGAACAATGATAGTCAGAGTCCAGAGGCTCAGTGTTTACAATGATGGGGATATGAAAGGGCCGGTCTCTGGCAGGTGTGCAGGTTAAGAGGAGTAGGGAGAAAATACAATGGGGCAATTGAGGTTGCTGCTCATCAAGAGGTTGCAATGAGTAACTTGGTGGATCTGTTAGAGGATGCCAAGAGAGAGAGAGCGAGACAGAGGAAAGTTCAGAAATTATTTTAAAAAGGATGAAATCTAGGATGGTGGCAACAGAGCAGAAAGATGTTGATTACTCAAGAATTCAGGTGTGGCATTAGATCATCAGGGGATGCACCAGTTTCAGAAGCCAAGAATGACCAGAGAAGGACCAGAGAAGGACAGAAGGGGCCCTAGGCTGAAACAACACACCGCGCGAGTCCTGCAGCAATCAACTGGAGACGAGCAAGGTATGGAAATGCATTGTCAGGTTGACTGGACGTAGATGCAGGATACCCTCAAATAAACAGGGTTTTGAACAACAGCAATACCACAACTGCCATGAGCCAATGCTGGAATCAACTGTACAGTGCCTGGAAGACACCTCAAATATCTCTGCTTTCAGTGCGACTTTGGCAGCATCTGCATTTTTCTTCACCAATGAAAAGTATTCCCTTCTCACAACAGCCACGTCTGCTGCTTCCTGCACAAATCAACACTTCTTATACTGCCCTGACACTCTTTATATGGCTTTGACCATCCTGGGAATGTAACCGAAACATTAATTTTTCAAATGCAGCCATTTTTCATTTACAGTTGTTCATCTACAATGCTCATCAGTAATTCATTCAATTTACACCTGGAACCAATTCTGTCCTCAACTCACCGAATTTGGCCATACTTCATTGAAGTATTTTAACTCTAGATTGTTCCTTGCCTTTTCCCAAAGCTGACTTGTAACAGTATGATCACTGCTCCTTAAACATTCCCCGACTGATACCTGATCTGCCTCATTCCGCAGAACTACAGCCCAGCAACGCCCTCTTCTTTGTTTGGCGGGAAATGCCCTGCACTAAAAGGCAGACCTACACTTCTTTGGGATTATTGCACATACAAATGGAATTGACTTACAATCTCCAAGAATGTCTGTATCTTCGTCTTCCCATTCATCTTCGTCTTCCTCCTCCTCCTCTTCCTCAGCTTCCTCTTCACCATTACCCAGTAGAGCTTCTAGCTCCTCCTCATCAGACGCCGTGAAGTCCCGTTCTCCATCCTGGGCTGCATTTGCCTCACTCCCGTTATTTTCATCCTCCCCATCCAGCAATGGGTCAGTGTCCAAGTCATCCAGGTCATCTTCAGAATCATCATCATCGTCATCATCATCATCGTCATCCTCTTCTTCCTCGTCCTGTGACAGCAACATCATCATCAATATTAGTTCTGTATAATACTCAGTGATACTTTCTTCAAATTGACTGTTGTCAAAATATGACAAACAAAATATTAAGAGCAGCAGGGGGACTTCAGCCCTTGGGCCTACACTACTATTCAGTTAGATCATGGTTGGTTTGTGCCTCAACTCCATCTACCAATTATGATTCTGCCATCCTTAATACCCTTATGTACATACTATGAACATAAAAAGTAGTTTTGAAAGCTCCAATTGACTTCTCCCAGCTTTGGCAGCTTATTTGATGCACAAATTCCAGGTTTCCAAGACATTGCATGATGACAACATTGCCTCTTGAGCAGCCTTGGTCTAATTTCAAAGTTTAATCCCCTTTCTCAAGTTCACTGCTCTGGTTTCCCAATGGCTACTGCCATATGAATCCCCCATGTGTCACTAACCCCCCTTACCATCTCAGCCAGGTGATAATTCAAAGTGAGCACACAAGAGCACCAATAGAGTCAATCCTCTGTGCAATCTTTGTATCAGGGCTCACTGTCTGTAATTAGGAACAAGAACACCTGATCTTTTCTGTTCCTCATTCAAAGGTTGGTGAGATCAACTGGTGTCTCAGTTGAGAACAGCTACATCAATACAGATCAGTGACTAAACCATGGGCAACTTTACTGTGAGGTTCAATAAAATACTGCACATAATTTGTTTACAAGAGAAGGTTAAAGTCTGAGCAGGGCACTTTGCCCACTCACCAAACAGCCTGATCATCCCTGGCCTATGCTCATGTCTTAGATTCTGTAGTCTTGTCAAAATCTTGGAGAGAAAAGACTAAATTGAGGCAACTTCGGTCACTGCTACTGTTCTCTTTATTCTTTCCAATGAAATTAAGATGCCCAAAATAGTACATTGAAAGTACGTAATACCAACAATTAAACTTGAACACTGGCAGCTCCAGGGAACTCTCTGCCTCCTGGACTGGCCATTTTTAGATTTCAGCTCAGTTTGGCAATGAAACCAGCCTTAAAATGAATAATATGAACCACAATTAACATTACACAGTGCTGAAGTGACTCAACACTTCAGTGTGGCATTTTTCCTCTCATTTGAGCTAGAAAACTGCTACTTTGGTTTTTGTCTGCCCACAGAATCATGTAGCTGTGAAAAGTGCCCACTGATGAAAACAAACATTCTCCACTGGATCTGTTGTATTCAGGGATCTCAAAGATTTCAGACACGAAAACCCCGACTGTTGTTTGGCCACAAACAGTCATCGTGCCTGATGTGTCCGTTACTTTAGGGTTAAAAGATTGAAGTGACAGGTTTTTGTTTCTTGATCTCACCCTTAGACCCACTGGGTAGACTGGCTGGTGATCACATTGTTTAAGCAGAACTGAAAGGATGTGGCTAAAACTAAGTATATGGGAATCCACAGTACAGACCTGATCCTCCTCTTCATCCTCTTCCTCTGCAAGCCGCTGACGCCCCACTTCGTACAATCTGCAGACAGTGTCCATTGACAGGGCATCCATGCTGCTGCCTTGGTTCTGCAATATGTTATGGAGCATTAATACAGAGCAGCATCCATAAAACCAAACCACACCAGTGTGCAGGAATACAAGCTTGTAAATAAGACATTAAACTACAACTTGAAGTCACACTGTACATTTATTGTGGTAAAACAAACAAGGCATTTCATAGGAAAGTTATAAGACCAGAAACTAACAACAAGCCACACAAAAGATGTTAGGTCTGGCGGACAAAAGCTTGGATAAAGAAGTAGGTTTTAAAGGTGTGCTTTAAAGGAGCAAAGTAAAGTAGAGGCTGACAATCTAAACAGCTGAAAGCACAGGTGCCAATAGTGAAGAAGAAGAATAAAGGAGAAACTTGCAGAGGCCAAGGCTGAGAGAGTTTACAAAGCAATGGAGGCACAAGATCATGGATTGATTTGTTAAGGAGGACGAGAATTGGTTTTGCTTCTCTGTTGTTCCCATGAACCTGCATGACATTCACCACAATTTACCCAAATTAGTCCTCATCAGGTATTAGTCTGTGCCATGCCAGCCTGAGGTCAATGCGAAAATGGAGGATATGACATTTGATCCTGATCTGTCCTTACTATATGTCAAATCACTTCCATTTGCAGTAATGCTACTGAACAATGGGTGGAAGTGAGAATTTTCTCCAACCCAGACAGGCTGATTCGCAAAGATCAAAACCTTTGAATCAGCATATAGCTGATGGTGATTTGACACTATGACCAATTTTGACATGCAAAGCAGAGACATGGCGTGCCAGCTGACAGTTTACATTACTGTTCTTTCATTTTCAAACCTTGGGTTTGAATTTAGCCTATACTGATGCAGTATATGCCTGTTCATTGGGAAAACTGGAAAGAGCTGAGAGCGCATGGGCAGTTTTTCATGTAATGATTCTCTGGTATTGGTTTCAGTCAATTCAGAAGAGTTATTAGGAGAATGTAAATTCCACTCTGATGAGGGATGGCATGTTGGGATAAGGATAAATAGATGTGGAGGGAGTTTTACCTTGCTCTTAAACTGCTCCATATCTTGTTTGGTAGGTCCTATGGCTGATGATGATTGAAGATAAAAAGGAGAAGAATCTCATGCATTGAAGCTCCTCACTTCAAATGGTGTAAAAATAAAGAAACTAAGCAAATGTTCTACTCAGCCTAGACATTACTGAGCATTGAAGGGACAGACATTACAGTGTTAAATGGACAAGAGTGGGCAGTTAAATCAGGTTAGGTAATCAATTTGGATTTGCAGACAGATACCTACAACAGAAATTCTAACTTATTTCACTCAAAGATTGAAGGAGACGTTTCCTGGGGATTTACTGTAGCCTTAAGTTTTGAGGTTTGATCCTCAGCCTGTAATGGACTAGGAGCATGTCAAGTCTGAGCCAGGAGCAGGCAGCTGAGAGGATTAGCCAGGGAACTTGTTGCTGATCTATTTACTACCTCCTGGTGGAATATACAAGTTACTATACATGACCGTACTATTCTCCACAGTCTGTTACGTGAGATGGTCCTTCTTTGACCAAATAATGAGGTACCACTGGTGCCCTCCTTTCAGCAGAAACAAATTTCTTCCTGTGCCCACACAGACAGCCAAGAGTTGTCACGTTATTCATACTGTAGACCAGAGCCTGGGCCTACCTCAATTACAGCCAGATAGCAGTCCTTAGTATCTGTGCAAAGATCGAAAATGTTCCTCTTCACATCAAGGGTTGCTTTAAAAATAAAAGAAAATTTTCAATTACTATATTGCTGTAAATTACATGATGACATTACCTCATTATTCAATATAGAATGCTAAACAAGTCAGCAAGTTGATTCTCCTAATATCAATCCCTGTCTCTCACAAAACTGAAATAAAGACACAGTGCTGGAAAAAACTCAGCATACTTTGGCAGCGCTGGTGAGGAGAGCGTGAGTGAATGTTAAGTCTCTAATGATTTTTCTTCAGACTGAAGAGTTATATTGGGCTCGAAACTGTAACTGATCCTTTCACAGACACTATTAGACCTGCTCAGTTTTTGAGCATCTGCAGTATTTTACTTTTATTCTATTGAGAAAGTGACCTAGAACCATTGGTTAAATGCTGGCTTTAAAGAGAGAGATGGTCACAGCTTTGGATGCAGCAAACTCAGCTCTGCTCAGCAAGTTGCTGGAAGAAGCGAATGTCATCTGTTTATAAAACAAATTGCTGGAGAAACTCAGCAGATGTCCATGGAGACAGAAACATTTCAAGTCTGATAGTTCGGAAGAAGAACCTGTTATCTGTTTAAGAGGCAAATACTTCGGGTATCTGTACATAGGCAAAATAAATACATCGTCATACTTTATCAAGGTTAAAGGAAAGCTCAAGATGGAGGATGGTGGGGGAAGGGAGATGATAGCAAAGGAAAACAGTGAGTGCCTCACTTTAGGATATGAAGCTTTAATTCATCCTGGGCTGATTAGAGGAGGCTTTCACACGAAGTGTCCTGTATAAAATTAATTCAACTCACATTGCAGTGAACGCAGGCACAGAGCAAAGCTGGATGTAAACTAACTCCACTTAGATAACCTCAATAGAACATGGGACTGAGCGTGGCAGTGGGGAGCATTCTACTGGCAGAAGCATGTTATTGGAGCAGAGAATAAGCATAGTGAGCTTCACTCTGTAATTAACTGTACCATACCCAAATAGAAGTTGCTTACTGCCAATATTGGGTGGTGCTCGAAATTGGAAAGCGTGCTATTCGCCACTCAGATGGGTCCAAGTAGCAGTGATTACTTTCCAACTAGCAGAACAAAACTGAGTGGCAGTCCAAATGAAATAAAGAATTACTTAATGACTTGCAAGAAGTTTGTGAACACCAAAGGAAGTGCTTCCAGTAAGTGAAAACCACCAGCAGTTGGCTAACAGAATAAGTGGCCACTCAGACATGGAGTCATCAAGTGTTTGATCCTTCACTGCAAGTAACTTTGCAGAGCGTGAGAAAGATCCCACACTCTGGTGAGATGTCCATATGGACTCCTGGAAAAATATACATCTTTGATTGTGGCCGCTCTTGCTAGTACTACAGCAGCATTTCTGGAGGCACACACTAATGTAACAGTGAAAGTTATTCAACTTCAAGGAAATAGTAGTGAATGGGCTCAAGCCACAAAAGGCAAAGAACTTGTACCCCAAGGGCAATACAAATAAGCTAGAAACAAACAACCAACCATAACGGATTCTACCTTTTACAATGTTAATCCAGAAAGTAACTAGCAACAAGAAATTAAACACATTTCAAAATGGGGCAATCGAAAGTTAGCGCTCAGCTCTCTCACCTATTGGTTTGTAGTCAGTAGCATCAAAGGTCCTGAAAGAGGATCCAAAAGGACTCTTCATCCGCACTTCTATCAAATCATCTTCGTCATCTGCCTGCAGCATAGCTAGAACACACAAAAAAAGATCAGAGAAAGAACTCATTCACATAGCCTCATACTTCAGTGCTGTGCACATTACTTGCAATGCAATGACTTATGCAAAGAGATCGCAGCAGCCAGCCTGTGCATAAGTTTCCTGAAACAACCTGTGTACTAGGAAATGACATCACAGAAACATTTGTCCCAGTGTTTATCCTCTTTTATGGATCATAAAATTGACTGCTAAAGGTAACTGAATGAGGATTGTCTGTAGGGAGATGTGCCATATTTATGAGCTCAGTGCATCAGATAATCCTTGAGCAGCATGCACCAGGTACAATGCCAATCCTGGAGTTGGAAATTCACTTTTCAAATATTGCAATGGGATCTTTATACACACATATAAGAAATTGGTGTCCACTGAACACTCTCCTCCAAAACAAGCCTGTAAATACACAGGAGCATAGGCAATTGGAGGCCAATCAGCACAAGCCCCACGAAACTCTCCTCTGACTCAATTACCGGGACCATAGAAGTCCCTTACCCAGTAAGTAATAACTGACCCACTTTAACTGTCAATATCCTCTCCGCTTAGGTACTTTTCAAGTTTATGGACCACAATATCTCCATTCACCGGGTTTCAAAAACTTGTTTCAGAGGGTAATGACATTCTTTGTAACAAAATACTTCCTAATATTTAATTTAACTAATTTAATCAAAGCACTGTCATATGTGTCTCCCTCTCTAAACCTATAACCCTTAACATCTTAAAAAAAAAACTTATACCAATGGACTCGCTCGAAGTCTAATATTTTAAAAATCCCTTTCTCTAAAACAAAGTTCTAACACTTGGAAACTTATTCTGGGCATGGAAACTTTGTTTAGGTGCTAGTCACTCCAGTACCCCTGTGCTGCCTCTTCAAAACAGCTACTTAATTAGTCCCATTCATTTACTACTTCTCTTAGCCCTATACTTATTTTTTTCCACATATTTATTCCATTCCCTTGTGAAAGTTACTACTTAACCTGCTTCCACCAATCTTTTAGGGAATGCACAAAGATCAGAAGAAATAGGAGCGAGAGCAGGCAGTTTGGCCACCAAGCCTGCTTCAACTTTCATTAAGAGCATGGCGAATCTACTAATGACCTTAATTCCACTTTCCAGCCTGTGCCTTATTATAGTATTAACTGCCTTGTAGATCAAAAATCTGGCCAGCCTTGAAGAATATATTCAATAGTACAGCTTCTGCTACTGCCAAAAAAATGCCTCCTTACTTCCATGATAAATGGTAGACCTCATTCTTAAACTTCTTCTTTGGTTCTAGATTCTCCAGAATGAGTGGGGAAGAGGCGAGAAGATCCTGCCAGTATCTACCCTGTTAAAATCCTCACATTCTTCTATGCCTCAACGACACTGCCTCTCGTACTTTTAAACTCCAAAGAGTATAGATCCAACTTGCTCAACCTATCCTAAGACAACCCCCTAATTGAAGAATTAGCTGGTGCACTTTCTCTAAACTACTTCCAATGCAACTCTCTCTCCCCCATAAGTAAAGCAATTAAACCTGAACAGCACAGTGCTCCACATGTGGTCTAATCAAAATGCTGTACAGCTGCACTAAGATGTCCTTTCTTTTATACACCTTCCCTGTTGAAATAAAGGCGAACATTCCAGCTGCTTTCCTAATTAATGGCTGCATGCAACCTTTGAGATTCATGCTCAAGGGCACCTAGATCCCTCTGCGCCATAATATTCTGTATCTCGAACAATATTATGCTTTGCTATTCCTCCTGCAAAGTGGACAATCCCACAGTATACTCCATCTGCCAAATTTTTCGACATTCCCTTATTCGCTCTATATTCCCTCAGACTCTCTGTACCCTTTTCACAACTTGCTTTTCTATATGCCTTTGTATTGGCAACAAATGTGGCTATCTACCCCCTTCATTCACATCATTAATATAGATAATAAATTTTACAGGCCTCAGAAGAGACCCCTTTGGCACTCTACACATGACTGCCAACCTGAAAATGATCTATTTATCCCAACTGTTTCCTGTTAGGTAGTGAATTCCTCTATCCATGGTCATTAATCACACCATTAATCTTGTGCAATAAACTCTTGTTGAAAGAATTCTAGAAACTCAAGTACATTATATCTACTTCCCCTTTAACTGCCCCGTTTGTTACATTGTCAAAGAACTTGAATAACTTTGTACATGATTTCCCTTTCACAAAATGAACTATAAGCCCTGTTGCTACTTCCTTCATCACGATTTTAGCATTTTCCCAACGATAGATATAAGGCTAGCTGGTCTATGGTTTCTTGCTTTCTGTCTCCCTCCTTTCTGGAATTGAGGTATTGTACTTGCAGTTTTCCAAATCCACTGGAACCTCTTCAGAATCTACAGAACACTGGAAGATTACAACCAATGCACCCTACTATCACAATACTCAGCCCTTTTGAGACTCTAGGATGTATAGGGGGCTTGTCAGCCTTTAGTCCCATTAGCTTTCTTATTATCTTCTCTGTAGTGATAGCTGTTTAAAGCTCCTCCTGCCCTTCTGTCCCTTAATTTTCTACAATTCTTGAGATGCTTTCTGTGTAGAGAGATTCAAAATACAGTCCAAAACCTCAGGCATTTCCTTATTTTCCATTAATTCTCTAATCTCGTATTCAGATCAATGCTCACTTTAGCCAATTATCCTTTTTATAGATTTGTAGAAAGGTTTTACTGTATGATTCTGTATTTCTTGCTAGTTTTCTCTTGTACTCTTTCACCCTTTTTTCAAAGGGCAACATAGCTGCTGTGTAAAATAATCTCTCAACTCTCCTCAAATTCTCGTCAAACATCTTAAGTTGGTGTTGTCAGGTTATTGATTCTCCTGCCAATGAAATTTGTTTTTCCTGATTTACTTTGATTATCAAAACAGTTCAATCTTGTGGATCTCTTTTCAATTCCCCATAACCTTAGTGGCTTTTCCTTATGAAATATAACTTTTGCAATTTATTCTGCTACCTTCAAATATTGGCATATTGTAACTAATATCTTTTAGCCATTCTGACTGATGCACCTGGACCAGGGTCATAAATTTTAACTAGGAATGGTGAATCAAATCTAAGCACAAGACTCCAAATATGTACCAAAGTAGTATGTGCAATGTTTTATATTGGAGCTGGTGTTGGTGCATTGCTAATGTCACTCGATAAGCAATCCAGAATCTCAGCCTAATGTTCCGAGGACATTGCTTTGAATCCCACCACGGCAGGTGGTGACATTTGAATTCAAGGAAAAAAATTTGTGATTAAAATGCTAGTCTAATGGCGACCAAGTAACCACTGCTAATCGTCATAGAAACCCATGTGGTTCACTAATATCCTTTACAGAAGTTAACCTGTCCTAGGAGTACAGAATGTGCAAGGGAAATCTTTAAAGGAATTAGAGCAAGGAGGAGGTACAATTAGAAAATAGCAGGTAAAACAAAGGGAAATCCTATGTTATTTTACAAGTACATTAAGGATAAAAAAATTAACAAGGGAAAGAGTAGGGCCCAACATTAATTTGTGTGTGTAGCCAGACTACATAGGTAGGTTTTTAAATGAATAAGTAAATATGTCAGTGTTCACTAGTCAGGGGGCCAATGTGGGTTTAGAAATCGGGGAGGAGGCTGTGATTCAATTAAAGAAGTTAACATGGACATGAGATTCTCAGTGGTCTGGTAGGCAGAAAAGTAGATAAATCTCCAGGGCCGAATGAGTGAGGCAAGGGAGGCTTTTACCAACTGAGACAGAGATTATAAGAGCAAGTTGTGTTGGAATGGCACAAAACGTTTAGTTAGGTCATAGCTAGAGTACTGTATGCAGTTCTGGAATCCACATCATAAGTGGGATGTGATAGCAATGAAGAGGGTGCAGAGGAGATTTACCAGAATATTGTCTGGGCTGGAGAGTTTTAGTTATGAAGAGAGATCTGATAGACTGGGGTTGTTTTCCTTGGAGCAGAGGAGATCGAGGGGAGTATATGACAGACATATAAAATTATGAGGAGCAAAGGTAGGGTAGACATAGATATTTCCCTTTGGGCAGGCATCAATGAATGGGGCATAAACTGACAGTAAGGAGGAGAGGAGGTATAAAGGGGAGGAGAGGATGTGAGGTTATCCAGTATTTGTGAAACCCATAGAGGAGCTCCAATCTTCTTACAAATGAAGTCCAGTTTCACATCAGGAATCTGCTTGGATGAGCAACAAGGAAGGGGGGAGTGCAGGAGATGAGGGAAGAAGAAAGTCAGCTGGGGGAGTAACTTACTTGAGCACCAAAAGTCTTTTGAAATTTGTACATTAACTGCTCAGAACAATTTTCCTCTACAAAACATACTTTGTTGGAAAGTCCCACACTAGTGCTCACGCCCTTCTCCAACCATCCCCGATATGAAGGAGACAGACATTCCAGTTCTGGTCTAGACGGCCTTATGAAGTGAAGCACTGCAGAGACAGGTGGGTTTGAAAATTCCATACTACTTTTCAACTCCACAAAAATAATCATTTATCCCTCTTCCAAAATAAAGTTGGTATGTTTTGTAAGTAAACACCACTATCACCCTTCCAAAGCTCCTACCTCCATATATAACCGTGCCTGTGTTGTTGAAGACTATTCGACACTGGTCTAATGCTGGGACTGTGTGCAGAAGGTGAAATGTCCGCAGATCCCACTGAAATGAAGCTTTTGTTAAAGGACTCACTCCAACACTGTTGGATCATGAATACAATACTTAAAAACTTCAGGACCTTACGATTAATTATATTAGAGGCATATGCCACTCAAGTGTACATAATATACAACCTCCATCTAAAACCGAGGAAATATTTGGAGCATTTCCTCTCAACAAAGAACTTTACAGTGCACTTCTGCACAGAAAGATTTATGGTAGCTGACTCAACAAATACTCTCAGTAAAACCCACGCACTCAAGTCTCCTGGTCACACAGATTCTCTGCTTGCTAAATGCAGCCATGCTATTTGGTGTTCTCTTGTAAATGACATGCACAGCTACATGAATAGATAAATGTACTCAATTGTTTACTTTCTCAGAACAAATTGCTTAGTCCTTGACTATTAATTTTCTGCTTGGAATTGAATTCTTTTTGTTATTGAGAGAAACAAGTTATTTATTTAAAATGTAAACGAATACCACTACCTGCAAATTTCCCTCAAAGACGCTTAACTCATTCGAACTATGATCGTTATTCCTTCAATGTCACGGGTACAAACTCCTGGCACTCCCTGACAGCAATGTGACATACCTACACCACATGCACCGCAGTTCAAGCAGGAGCTCACACAAACATTCTCAAGGGCAATTTGGGATGTGTCATAAATGTTAGTCTAGCCAGCAAAGCTCATGGATGAATAAAAGAAATTGCTACAGGCCTTAAATACAACGAAAATTCTGGAAATGATCAGCTGACCAACTGCTAAAAGAGGAATGCAAGAATAAGGTTTCATGTCTATGACCCATTTCCCCAAGAAATGGTTATGACCCAAAATGACTTTACCTACTGCTATCCGCTGATATGCTGAGCATGCAATTGTCAGATGAGATTTCCAGTAGCTGTACTACATTTTAGCTTGAAATTCAATAAAAATGACTTTTTCCTTGTGAACAGATTACAGGCTTTGTCCATTAAAATTCAGGCTGTCTGTGAAAAGCATTTGGAGCTTTACTACATTAAGTTGAGGTACTCTTGATGGTGATGGGTAGTATAACGTCTGAAAAACTACTTGCACCTCTCAACACCGAAGTGTTGTAGATTGACTACCATTTTTCCAAAGTGTACTCAAAGCCTAGCGATGAAACCATAACTACATTTCTGAAACGCAGCATATCTAACATTAGTTTAATTTAAAATAAAAAGACAGATGTAGTTCACAAATAGGTCTGGATAATTTGCATTTTCTCTCTCAGCTTTTTGGTCCCCCTCCATAAGTGTTCTCCAGTTAAAAATCCAAGTCTTCAAAAATTGACAGGAAGACTTCTAAAATATCCCCTAAAATCATTGAACATTTGTTGTACAACATCCCAGTTCCTCCAGTACACAGTCCCTTGTTAGTGAAGGATACAATCTCTGTATTGATGATGACTTCCAGCCCATTTGGATGGAACACTCCACTGATGTTCATGTTGAACTTATCAAACTTGTGAATGGCCTGTGTTGAACGGATATCCCACAGCACTCCGTCATTTAACACCAAATCATCTGTGGGGTTAAAGGTTGCACAATTCCGCTTGTAGTTGTTGGCTAGGTCAGGATTGTAGAGAGTGAGGATGTTTTGGCCTGTCTGGATATCGTATATCTATGGACAGAAGAAAAGACAAGCTTTTTTTCAATATTTGTATTTGTGTTGCGTGCAAAAGGTGAGAAATATTGATGCTGCAGAATCTGAACAATTTGGACATTATGTATGAACAGCCTTTTCTCGACTTTGCCATAATAACATTCCTCAATCTTAACATCAATAGCAGAACAGTGTCGTATTGTCTCCATCTCTCTGAGTCATCCTATGGGATTTCAGTAGGTTCGTTAAATCTACTGCTGCCTTAGCTTTGTGTTGCAGATCTAAGTGCTTGAAGAATCGGATTGGGACAGATTTTTAAAAGAACCTACATTCTCAAATGCCGTGACCTTAGAATTTATATAGTACTTTTAATATTCAAAAAGGTGAAGTTCTAGGTATAGAAATGGATACTGGGCTAAAGGAAAGACTTTAGAAGGAGCAGCCAACGATTGGTGAAAGGTTTGGGTTTTAAATATGGTCTTAGAAAACATCAGCGAAGGCTGACGGATTAATGGTGGAAATTACAGATCACAGGACCAAGGTGGCTGAAGGCACAGCCATTAAGGGGGAGGCAAAAGGCGGCAGATAGATGCATGAGAGTTCAGTCAAAGGAACAAACATTTTGGGGAAGGAAGGATCAACCTCAAAAAGAATTTTTGGCATCAGAGCTGAGATAAATTGAACAAGGGCAGGAGTGAGTGACAAACAGGATTTTTAAAAAATTCATTCACAGGATATGGGCAGTGCTAGCTAGCTGAGCATTTATAACAATTCCTAATTGTTGCAGGCCTGGTGTCACATGTAGGCTGATCAGATAAGGACGGCAGATTTCCTTCCCTGAAGGACATTAGTGAACGAGATGCGTTTTTCCGACAATCAACAATGGTTTCTTGGTCATTATTAGACCCTTAATTCCAGATTTTTACTGAATTCAAATTTCACCATCTGCCAGTGAGATTTGCATCTGGGACCCCAGAACATTACCAGGGTCTCTAGATTAAATGTCTACCAATAATTCCAATAAATCATTGGTTCCTCTATGGCAGCAGAGTTTTGGATGTTTACAGAAGGTTTAGGATGGGCTGCCAAGCATTGGAGTACTGGAATAATTAGGTCTGTTGGGACAAAGGCACAGATGAGGATTTCAGACAGGCAGACAGTGATGAACGGAGATAAAAGTGGGCAGTCTTTACTATGTTGAAAATACAGGGTTGACTAGGACACAGAAGTTACAAGGTTTGATTTGGCCTGTGATACTGTCTGGGGAGGGAACAGAATTAGTGACAAAAGTATAGAGTCTGTTGTTAGGTCCAGAGATGATGGTCTCAGTTTACACAGTGCACCATTGTGGAGCAGGTCATTGGATTGTGAGCAGCAATGGGAGCCATAGGTGATTTATTCCCGTTCCTCAACCAGACCAGATTACCTAACATAACATACATGAAACCACGTGAGATGCACAGATTATTGTACAGAGTTGAAGCCTTTATCCACTGGGGCACTGGCAGATCAAATGACCAATATTCCCATTACATGCATCACATATAAGCCAAAGTCAAATTACTCACATGAGCCACTTCCTCCTTTGTCCCAATGACTCTGTCCTGAGAGAGTTTACTGAATTCCACATAATGATCATCTGTGAATGAGTGCCTGAAACATTAGGAACATCATTGCCAAATTAATTCCAACAGCACAGATCCAAAACAAACACTCATACCTGCTTAAGGTCTAGTGCAGATAAGTTCTGTTTAGAGACCTCACCAAATTGCACTATATGGCTCTTCAGGACAAAAATACCTCCTCTTTCCAGCACAAGACAAGCCTCTTTTACCCATCCATTCATCCACAGGCTTGGTATTCCATTTTCATCTACTATGATAAGGCCAGCAGATACATGGGAACACCACAAAGCTCCTCTTCAAACCACTCACTATTCTGACTTGAAAAAAAAATCTTGCTGTTCCTTCACTGTCACTGGGTCAAAATCCTGGAATTTCCTCCGTAATGGTATTGTGGGTCTACCTATAGCATATGGACTGCAGCAATTCAAGTCTGCAGCCGTGGCCTTGTCAAGGGTAACTAGGGACTGGCAATGAATGCTGGCCTAGCCAGTGATGCCCACATCCCACAAGAAAATTAGAAAAGAAACTCATTCACACTTACAGAAGCTGGGAACTGAATTACTTCAATGCATCAAACATAGGTACATTCCAGCACCCCTCTAATGCATCATACACTGGTGTACTGGTACATACAATCTTTCAAACCAGTGCTGTGATTAAAGTCTAATGCATAAAGCCACCACAAATATTAGCACCTTCCCCATTTTAAACTACCACAGGACGGGAACAAGCATTTTTAAACTACCACAAGCATGGGAACAAACAAACACACAAAAAATTCAGAATTTATTTTATGAAGAAATAATGACAACTTCTTTTCTAGCTAAAGCAAAAAAGTTTAAGCCACAAAGAGACACAGCAACTAGCCTTCATATCCTTAAGATGGAGAAGGTACAATCAACCTCTTTTGCTGGCTGTCCAATGATGCTTACTGGAAATTGACTTGTGGACACATTTGAGAGGTCACAGCTTCAGGTGATACCAAAAGTTGGTAAATATTTGAAAATTCAGCACTGTGGATTATTCTCCACATGCAATACTCTTTAGTGTAGTGCAGTGCATCCTTGATTAAAATCACAAATGCAACCTCAAATTGTACTGGATAGCTGAGGAGCACAGGGATTCATCCCAGTAACACACCCATTTTTCTGTATTGGTCCATTGTAATTCAAGGCTTGAAAACCTCACCTAAAATGACACACCTGGCAGAGTAAAGAAACTATATGTCTGGCATTTACAACTCTTATACTTGTGAAAAATCATCTTCACTTACTTCATGTCAAAGACTGACTTCATTCCCCAGAGAGCAGAGAGAGGCTGGCCCCAACTTGCTGACGTTAATAACAAGGATCCATCCTGCAAGCACACATGGACAGAAGTTACAGAAAAATTAAATATCAGGTCTGTCAGTACGTAGAGTAATACTGGTACTGATACTCAATCCCTCAGTCAAAATTATTATACATTACCTGACTATTATTCGATTACTAAATGCAAGACTTTACCATGAGCAAATTGGGTGTCACAGTTTCTAAAACCAAAACAAAATCAGTGACCACACTTGGAAAGGTGTTTCACTGAATGTAAAGCTCTTTATGACATTCTAAAACTAAGAAAGGCACTACAGAAATGTATTTTCTGGACTTATGTGGACTTATGTCACTTAAACCGCCACTGTCCTGATCATTGTTGGATAGCCCCACGAACAGTATACTGAAGGAAGCACAATCACCAGGAATATGGGTCTATAATCATGATTGTCACAAAAGTAGGATTTGGATTTTGGTTGTACAACATGGACTGAAACTGAAGGAAAAATCTCAAGTCAATTACACAGAAAGCCTGGGAAGAAATCCAAAGAGATGGTGCACAAAAATGCATTGATGGGACACATGGGTTAGAAACAAAGAGTGGTTGCAGTGGGGCAAAGAGGAAGGAGAAAATCAAAAGGAATAAGCCAAGCCACAGTTACAGCCGACTGTACGCTTCAGAAAAACCAGAGCATAACAAGTCTACCAATCAAGGGCTGTACATTATGAAGCATTCTGTTAAAGGCGTCCAAAAGCACAATCACTTGCAGTGATTTTATCCCGACCTAGCCTGACAGACATTCCTACTTGGATTTGGTACAGATCCTGACTGCCCTGCTGCATCCTACCAAAGTGGGCATCTTGGGGTTAGGAGCCTAAATGGCCAGTGTCTGTTAGGACACGTGACTGAGGCAAGAACTGCAGATTCCTGCAGGGCTTAATGAATTGTGCTCAGGAGTGGGAACCCCAGGCTACGAGTAGCATCAGCATCACCAGGCTCAGATCAAACAGGCTGGAGACTGAAACAAGGATCTCTGCTTTGCAAATCTCAGCTACTCACGGCTGTAACCAACACGGACCGGGTAACGTATATAGGCATACAAATCTAGACTGACACTTCAGTACAGTGCTGAAGAAATATTGCACAGCTGGGAGATTGTACCTTTTGGGCGAGACATTAAAACAAGGCCATTTGCCCTTTTGTTTTGGTGGAAGCAAATGACTCGGTATTTCAGAGACACCAGGGAGCTCCCCATTACCCGGCTGATACTTTTCCGTTAAATCACTAAAAAATAAAGATTGCATATTTCTGTTTGCAGGATCCTGCATTTCTATATTTTAAATAGAATTATTTGGTTATAGAACATTTTGAGACATCCTGAAGTCTGAAAAGTACTGTATAAATGCAAGCCTTTAAAAAAATTTAAATGCACATCCTTCCCAGAACATGGACGGGACCTCGTAATATTGCACTTACCTTGGATGGCTCTAGGTGTGTTATGGCAGAATTATGACAGGCATATGTACCCTCTTCTTGGCCGCTAAATAAATTGTAGAGTTTTAATTCTCCCGTACATGTCCCCAACATCAGAAACCGCTCTCGCGCAGAGAATGTGCAGCATGTAAAACCACTGCCTTCCTCATCTGATTCTCTGAACACAGAAATGGGTCGGAACCTGCAAGAAGTGAGCAGGATACAGAACTCAATTTTTGTTATGAATACTTGAGGAATAATTAGGTTATGTAGTAAGTAACATTTCAACAGAACAGATTTGAAATACTAATTCTATAATTCCATTTACACCATCCTCCTTTCCGTGAACACCTGAAGAAATGCATAATTTTCTTCAAGTTGTATTCCGTGCACAGGAACAGCCAAACAGAAAAAAAAATAACGAAGATTTTGGTAGAATTGCTTGAGGGAGGAGTGTTATGTTCATCAAGGTGAGAAATATTACTGGGAGGAATGAAACACATTTCATTTTGTGTCAGGTCATATACGCTCTTAAAAGTCCATGCTGTTACATCAAATATTCCCCAGCCCCTAGGCAGATAAAAGAGGTTACTACCAGAAAAAAATTCCCCCATTCTATCCCAAAGACCACCAGGGTAGAGACTGTGTAGTTTAGACTCAGCGTAAAGGTCTCTTTGCACTAAGCCATTCACCACTACTGCAGCAGGCATCAACAGTTAAATACAGAGAAAAGCTTCCTGTAAGCAGTCTCAAATTTTTTTTTTGGGTCATTGGGTGTAGAGTAAAATTTCTTCAATGCTACTTTAGCCCCAACACTCAGGGAACATTTCCTAATGCACCAGTTTCAGTACCAGCCACCATGTGGCAGGTTGATCAATTAAAAGTAGTTTTATACCAGGATTCACTGGTCACTATAACTGGATTGGGATTACCCAAAGTCATTTTGTTTAATATTTTCAATCAAGAGAGATATGATAAAACTGGATCTTAAGCCAGATCCCAGAGGTAAAAAGTTCTTGCTGAATAAAGTGTAGAACTGGATGAACACAGCAGGCCAAGCAGCATCAGAGGAGCAGGAAAGCTGACGTTTCGGGCCTGGACTCTTTTTCAGAAAATGAAGGAGAGGGGTCTAGGCCTGAAACGTCAGCTTTCCTGCACCTCTGATGCTGCTTGGCCTGCTGTGTTCATCCAGCTCTACACCTTGTTATCTCAGATTCTTCAGCATCTGCAGTTTCTACTATCTCTTGCTGAATAAACTCCTTTATACGGAGAAAACTTTGAGAAATTTGCATGGAATGGTGTGACTCTGGCAGCAGCATGACGTGAGCTGGAAAGCCCAGAGTGGGACGGCGTGGGCTGGGAAGCCTGGACTGGGACTGTAGTAGTGGAGAAGAAAAGGTTGGACTAAGTTTTATTTTATTCTAAGTTAATGTTAGTGGCACCTATGTACAGTGACGGTACACACTTTATTTTATATCGAATACACAATAAATGATTCAATTCAAAATGATTCAATTCATATAACGTGGTCAGGATTAGGCCAGGCTGTAATGGCCATTCCTACATAATTACTTAACGTTGGCTTTCCATCAGGATTATCTAAAACAGGCTGGCAATACTCACCACTAAGATACTGTCAAAAGAGGTCTCGTTACACGGTGGTAATTTTCACATCTCTCGGCCAGAAGTTCCAGGCTCAATCCCATCTACTATGGGCATGCATCTTACAGGCTAATTAAAAAATACTTGATTGCGAGATGTAGTGTCAGATTACTTGACTAGCAACCCAATGATTATAGTCATGGCAAACTGAGATACTGATTTCATTGTGCTTGGCCACTTAAGGTCATCTTCAGGAAAGGGAGGAATTAACCTAGATTTTTACTTAGCTGACAACTGGAAGTGACAAAGTCTAGAAACCAGAGCAGATTTAGGAATCCCTGTCCTCTGAGCCCAGAGCTGAAGTGGGAAATTTGACCATGCTTTCTGAAATTAGAATGTGATATGATGATAGGAATGCCCTACCATGCTGTATTGATCTAATTTACAACTCTACATGTATTATGTCAGCTAACAAAGGAAAGATTAAATTTGGAACGTTGTACCTAGTTTTTTTTTTTAATTTGCTGACCCCACAGCTACATTATTATACAGTTCCTTGAAAAATGGTCATCATGGTGCTTCAACCATGCATCAAACGTACAATATGCAGCTGAATTGACCATGGGCCATTACATCACAATCTTCACCCACAGACTTCTCCAAAAATGTCACAGAATAGCTGAGAGTCCAAGTTTTCCCTTAGTGACCTACAGGTCAAATCCAGCCATCTACTTCTACCCTAGCACAGATCAATATAGAAGTGGTTTTAAACCTGGAAGTTGTGTTACCAGATGAAACCACAACAGTGCTTACTGCTTCAGCTACAGATCTTGATACGTGGGGAGAAGAAAGGAATGAAAAGGAACAAAAACACATATCTGCACAATGAGAGAGGTTGGTGACCGAGTGAGAGGCTATTAAGGGCTCATCTTTACCTAAAGTCGAATATTTATATTTAGCAACTAACTAAAAATTACTGCGTAAGAGGTAAGTTACTTTTAAAAAGAAGTTAGGCTTTTGCCAGGCTTAAACAGGGAAATACAAGCTCTGTAACTAGTAAATAAGCTAACTGGTTTCAACAAGTTTTGCAATTTTCATAGGGCTGACTCATTATTTTTCTAAGAGTATCTGTACTGCTTGAGTGCACTGCATGAGCGCCCAGGAATGACTGTAGCAGCACAGTATAGGAAGACATACAAGTGGGAAGAATGAAAAGAAACAGGGTAGCAGCATGTGACAATTTAGTCAGAGGATAGACACATTTCCCTGCAGCTGACAGTGTGAATCCAGAGGCTGTTTTGCCTGACTGGTGCAATGGTTCAGGATATCTGTTCAGAGTTGGACAGGAACTAGGAGTGGAAGGGGTGGATCCAGTTGCAGTGGTCTGTGCAGGTACCAATAACATGGACTAGGAAAGAAGTTCTGTATCGGTAGTATGAGAAGCCAGGCGCTAAATTAGAAAGCAGAACCTCAAAAAGTGCAAGAATCATGTGCAAATGGGCAAAGGGTAATGAAAATGGAAGAGATGCATAGTTGAAAGATTGCTATGTAAAAAGTGGACACTGATTCATGGGGCATTAGCAGTAGCACTGGGCAATGTGGGAGCTATACTTTGAGATGGACTTCACCTGAAGAGTGCCTTATTTTTGGGGATGGAAGGGGGTCACAAAAAGGGGAAAAGATCATGCTGGGGAAAATTGAGTGACTTAGAAGGAAATGACAAGGTAATAGATTAAGGATAGTAATAAAGAATAATAATTAGAGTAAAGCAGGAAGGAACAGAGCTTCCAAACCTTTTGAGTGCGTCAATAGATAGGGCCAGTGTTTAAAAAAACAGTGGTTGCGGTGTGGGTTGGTGGGGATGTACTGAATTAAAAGCTCTGTATTTGAATGCGTACAGCATTTGCAATAGAACAGACAGTTCTGTGGCATTCAGGAAGGACAGAATTCTGGGAAAAGATGGCAGGGTGCTCTCTTAATTTAATTTGGCATTAGTACTGCAGTGTGAGAGATTACCTTCGTTCTTAAGTTTGGATAGAAATAGGAAAACTTTGGTGGGAGTTATTTATAGGCCACCAAACATAAATGATAATGTGAAACACAATATAAATCAGGAAATTAGAGGTTCACCTAATAAGAATATAGTAATCCTGGGTGACTTCAAATTACATGCAAACTGGAAGTATTACTAAGGTTGTGCAGGACATATTTTTGCAACATATGGCTGATGTTTTTCCAGAGCAGTTTGTTGAGGAGCCAACTAGGGAGTGGGCTTTTTTACATCAATTTTTGCATAATGAAAATGACTAATTAATAATCTTCTTGTAAAGAAGCTTTTAGAAAAGAGTGTGACCAGAACATGACAGCATTTTGCTTGAAGTCTGAAAGTGAATTTAGATCAGAAATTAGGATCTTAAATCTGAAAGAAAACTATGAAGCCACGAGGGGCGAACTGGGTATGGCATATTGGGAGACCACATTAAGAGGTATGACAATAGACTACTTACTAATTAATAACTTTTAAATAACTCATACATGGTTTACAACAGAAGTGTACAGTAACACTGTAGTATTACACCAACAATTATTTTATAGGTCTTTTTCTTTAAGACAATGCCAAAAAGGTCAATTCTGAGGATTGGGAGAATATTAGAATTTCTAACTAAAATACATTAATATTTGAATCTTTGGAGCTCTTCACCCAAGGACTGTGAAAATTCAACTATTTGCCATGTCCATGACTGAGAGTGATAGATTTCTACATATTAAAAAACATCTGGGGATAGCATAGGAAAATGGTGAAGCAGATCAATCACAATTTTACTGAATAGCACACCAGACTTGGAGGGCTGAATGGTCTACTCCTGCTCTGTTTTTTTTTTAGGTTCGGTCTCTCTTCAGCTCACCAGGTCAAAGTAGCACTGGCTGCAAATCAAAACTGATTTCTATGCCTGTCCTTACAAGCTGGGGCAGCACTGGCCAAGAGAAAAATTGTATTAAAAGGCAAAAGTTAACATCCTGAATCAATACAAAGAATACAATGATAGTTGAAGTGATAGGAAATTATGTTCATTACAATCTCAATCGTGAAAACAACTCCTAACTTCAAAGTTCCTCTTGAACCATATTAAATGCAATGGTTATTTGGAGTTAAAACTCTGCAGAAAAAACTGCCGATTTTAGGCTAAGGCAGCTTGAATCAGTGTTAACACTGCACACGATTTTACCACACAATGTGCACAACAGAAACTGAGAGAGTCAAATACTCTTGCTATAAACAGTGGGGGACTATAAGCATACTTGTTTTGTGCAGGGAAACGTTCTGCCAAACCTCTGTCAATAAACTACACAACATTACCTGCTAAAGATGAGATGCCGGTCAAAGCAGCCCCCATCCACTCCTCCATATTTAGGGAAAGCAGACCTATGGGTCACACGGCTGGTGAAGTTCAATGGTGCCTGCCGTCTCTGCTTTGGCTCTGGGCACTGGTGAGGGGTAAAGAGGGAAAAAGGAGGGCAGGTGACAACAGGGTTCTTGCAGCGGGCATGCTGTTCTCTGAGGTATTCTGTAATGATGCTGTCCAAGGAAGGTGGTGATGGGAGGTGGCGGTCCAGTTGTTTTTTAATAGCTGGCGTCTGGTTGTAAGCCCCATAGTCTGACTTCTGTCGAATTAATCTCTGCTTCTTCAGGTTCGTGCCATTGCAGGGAGATGGCTTTTCCTTGGAAAAACTTATCTTGCCGATAATTGGTGAGCCATTGGGACAGGAGAGCCCAGAGGTGGAGGTGGCCCCTTGAGTAGCTGCTGCCTTCGCTTGGCAGGATGGTGGAAATGCAGTTAGGTTGATGGTTCGAGATGAAATGCCATTGGCTAGCCTGGGAGTCCGGGGTAAGCTGACAGGGGAGGTGCCAGGGGCGGTGGCTGCAAAGGCGGGAGAATGTGGCGGTGCAGCTTGGATGGCTGGTGTCCTGGGAAGGTCACCCTCCTTGGTGAGCATTGATGCTGTGTCGTGCAGGCCATGAGACACCAGATGGTTGCGGATGAGTAAGAGCAGCTCTTTCTCAGAGAAGGTGATCCGTGTTTGTGCCACCACATCTGCCTTCTGAAGCCGGGCCAGTGAGACATCGGAGCCGATGGACAACGGCTTCCCAGAGACACGCTCAATCAGCTCAGAGGCATACTTGCAGAACTTGACGTGCTCGTGTCGCTTGTCCTGAAGCACAGGCTCCCTCATCAGTTGCTGGATCTGGCCACTGGTGAAAAGGGGCAGCTTGCTGATGATCTGCTTCACAGCACTGCTGCGTGACAGGCCCACCAGGGCCTTGCACGCCAAAGTGCGGATCTGATCCGCATCAGTGATGGGTGTCTTCACAGTCAACAAGGACAGTAACACCTTGATGCCGTTGTTGGCCTGTACCACATTCCACATCTTAGTCAGCACACTCTCTGTGCTCTTGGGGTTCTGCAGGTTTTTCCGACGAGGCGTTCCGGAGTTGAACTTGCCGATGCTGGAGATACGCTTATCAGGCCCGCAGACGCAGTTGATAATGACTTGAAGTGCAGATTTCTGCGTCTCAGCATCATTTGCAAAGATATCCCCCTCGGCAACTCCAAGGATAATGCTCATCCCTACAAAAGAAAACAAGGCCCTTTAATGTAGAAGGTAGTAAGAACTGCTGTTGCTGGAGTCACAACTAACACAGCAGGCCAGGCAGCATCAGAGGAGAAGGAAAGCTGACATTTCGGGTCGGGACCC